ATATCAACACCTTTCTTCTCAAGAACTCTCCAAAGGGTATCTCTTGGAATCTTATCGTAAGCTTTTTCTAAATCAATTAAAATCAAATGTAGATTCTTTTGATTATCTCTGAACTTCTCCACCAAACCTCTCAATAAATGTATCAATAAATGTATAGTTAAATGTATAGTTTCCATAGTAGACCTGCCAGGCATAAATCCAAATTGATTATGAGAAATATTTGTAATGCATCTTAATATGTTCAATTATCCTCTCCCATAATGTTAAAGCATGACACATCAACTTAATTCCTCTATAATTTGCACACTTTTGTGCATCCCTATTATTCTTAAAAATGGGGACCAAAGTACTTTTCCTCCACTCCTCAGACATCTTTTTAGTTTTTAAAATAATATTAAAGAGTATAATATTTAAAATAATATTAAAGAGTTTAGAAAGCCAAGAAACTCTCAAATCTCCTAAATATTTCCACACTTCAATTGGGATATCATTAGGTCCTACAGACTTTCCACCCTTTGTTTTCTCTAAAGCCTCCTCAACTTCTTTTTTACTAATGCGACGATAAAAATGAAATGTTTTATTATTATTTATGATATTAAGATCACTAAGATCGATCGTATTTTCAGAAATTTGATTAAAAAGTTTAACAAAATACCTCACCCACCTATGGTGAGTATCTTTTTATAAGAAAATTACTTTTTGATTTTCATCTTTAATACACTTTACTTGAGTTAAATCTTTACTTTTCTTCTCTCTTTGTTTGGCTAGTTTATATATATATTTTTCACCCTTCTTAGTATCTAATTTATTATAAAGATCATGAAAAGCAAAAATTTTAGCGTCATATATTGTTCTCTTAGACTCTATACAGACAATTTGATGTTTTCCCAGTTTTCTAAGCTTTTATATTTAAATTAATTTTTATAACATAACTTCTTATATTTTATCTTTTCTTGCACATTATTATTGATGTGAGCCGAGTTGAGCTCGAGTCATCCTTGTCTTGAGCTTGGTAAATAAATCGAGCTCATGTTTTATTCTACAATTTTGAGACGATCCACAAGCCAACTTGATTATTATAAAAGAGAGAAAATAATATTTATTCAAACTAGTGTTGTAATAAAATGACAAATAGAATGAGCATTTAGAACATAAATAATAAGAAATCATATGATATAAAATGTATACTTTCATTTTTTTAACATTAATAATAATACTTCGAAGATACATTCTTGAATTTTGAGTATATTTTATATTAGTTATTTTTAAACAAACTAACTCACGAGCGAACGAGTTAAATTGGGGTTAGTTAAAGCTTTTAACTTATTAGCTCATTGAGCTCAATTCACAAGCCACTTATCAAGCCAAGTCCGAGCAGGCACATGATTTAGCTTGACTCAACTACACCCTACACAGAGTTCTCTTTACTAAAAATAGACAGTTCAAAAAAAAAAAATTCTGAAACTGCCAACCCAAAAATACATTGGTAGAAATTATCAATACTGATTTTAAACAGGAAAGATGAGAGGCCAATACCATTCAAGAATGCATTGAATATGGAACTCATGCTTGCAGCTAGTCGCCTAAAAACCAAAACTTTATCAGCACAAAGAATACAAAAGAGAGAAATAAACAAGATTTTCAAAAACAAATATAAAGCTTCATACAGTTGCAGGATTGCTGTCACAGAAAGACTCAAGACAAATGCTGCACGAATCATCACATGCATCCTGGATTCCCCCTTCCACAAATGCCGCAGCGGATTGAAGGTTCTCTATCTTCACTGTCTCATCCATCTTCAAAATCTCCAAAACCTTACTTCCCAATGGCCAAAAAGGAGAAATACCAATAAGTAAATAAACTAGGGCAACCCAAATGAATGAATCCTATAAAATTGAAAATGTTCATAAGAACTTCCCCGGTCCTAGAATCAACCAGAAATTTCAAACTAATTCATCAAACCCTAAAAGGAGCTTCTTCATACCCCCCAGAACCCTTCGCGAAAACGAAATTATAAGGAATCGCGTCAATCGATCCTGAACAATTACAATTCATAGAAAAACAGACTTCTAACCCTATCGCAAACTCTTAAAAGATGAAATTCTTTCAAACCTTGGATGAAATAGGCAAAGATTCAGATCAAAAATCGGCAAAATTGAATGAGCTACTGAAGATCAAGTCCACTTTCATGGATGCTTCATCCCCTCTATCGCTTTCGCAACTTGCCGACTTCGTGGAGCGAAACCATGGAACAAAGAAAGGGCTAATGAAACTCACCTCCACCACGGAGGTGAGAGAAGACGAAAGGAAATTTAGATTTTTAGTATAAGTAAACAACTAATTATCCATTAATTTAATAATAATAAGAAAAATTGTCTTTTTTTTTTTTTTCTTTTGAGAAGTTGAGCTTTAAAAAAAAATTAAGTTATAAATTAATGGTTAATGTGTGCTTTAAACTTGAATCTACTAATTTGACAGAGTTTTTTGTTAACTCCTCCATAAGTCATGCACGGAAAAGCACTGTGATTGATGAAGATCTAAAAGATAATTAGGTATACACGTGTTAATCATGCTTATAATTTGGAATAAGAATCATTTATCATGTGTCATACAAAGAAAACTAAAAAATGAATATAGCCAAGTTTGTTGAATGTTTACAATAAAATGAAGCAAAGGTTGAATGACATATTGATAAATATTGGTAAAAATAAGTTTACTTTCAATTTAGAATTGAGTTTACAAGTGATGTATCACTTTGGGGGAGCATAGTCCACAATTTAAATTCCTTCAACAAAGCTACTAAAATATTATGATCTTATTTTTTTTAAAATTAATGAGCTTTCATATCCATTAAACATCAATATCTCAATGTGTGATTATTGCTCCCAATAAGATTTTAACTATATATATATATATATATATATTTTGTGCACTTGCGTTCAAGGCTTTAAGACTATATCACACATTGTTAAGTGTAGGAAAATATTTTTGTAATACAATTTATTTGCATTTAATTTTTTTTTTTAAATCAAAGCCAGCCTAAATGAATACTAAAGTTAATAATTATATATATAAATAACTAGAAAATGTGGGATATGCATGTAAATCCAATTTTTTTTTTTTTAAAAAGGAAGATTTGCATAAGTATCACTCAATTCCTATTTATTTTGATATTCAACCCTTCCACTTCAAATTTTATATACATATCTCCTTTCCTATACAAGAAAACGTGTATTTCATTTCCGACCATTTTTTTTAATGCAACATGAAAGATTTGAGTCATATAAATGTAAAAATTAAAATTTAAATGTTAAATGTATGAAAACATAAGAATTGGATGGTAATTATTATGAATCTAAATCCCAATTCCTTTCGGGCACTCCAAACAACTCAACAATCAGCTTCGCAACACCTTCGCAAATCTAGAGATCCTCCCCACAGAGCGAATATTACGTGCACCAAACATACATGCATACCGTGATATTCGAATAATATTAAGACGGTATTGCACCCATCTCAAACCACCAATATTATCCCAATATCAAGTCATCACACCCAGGGCTCTAAACAAGCCGAGTTTGAACTAGCTCGGGCTTGGCTTGTGTTCGGCTAGTTCGAAATTACTCATGTTAGGCTCAAAATTGGCTAGTCAAAATTAATTGAAAAAAAATATATGTAAAGTGTTCGATTCGAACCTGGAACAAATCTATGCAAAAGAAGACGTGCAATCGAATTACCACATGAGTTAAATTTAGATATATATTATATTAAATATATTATTATATAAATAATTATGTATTTGTATTTCGAGCTAAAACGAGCCGAATACAAGAATATAAATAATTATTTATGTTCGGCTCATTTTTAATCCGAGTTTAGAAAATATGTTCGGAGCATAACAAAAACTACTTAAGGAGCCAAACACAACCAATTAACTCTTTCGACAGCCCTTTCGACTTTGTATTTCGAGCTAAAACGAGCCGAATACAAGAAAATAAATAATTATTCGTGTTCGGCTCATTTTTAATCCGAGCTTAAAAAATATGTTCGCAGCATAACAAAAACTACTTAAGGAGCAAAACACAACCAATTAACTCTTTTGACAGCCCTTTCGATACCCTTAAACCCCATTTCTCCTCTTTCCATGGAGTATCATCTAGAGAAGAACCAAGAGTCAAAAGTTGCTGATGAAGAAGAGAAGACGACCACTGCTCCAGGTGCCGAGAATCGAGTATGCGTCACCGGCGGCAACGGCTTCATTGGATCTTGGATTGTGCGAACCCTAATCGACAAGGGTTACACCGTCACTGTCACCTTCCAGCCCGGTACCGATTGTTCCCACCTCCTCTCATTCCCCGGCGCTGAGGAAACCCGCCTTCATCTCAGGGAGGCCGATCTTCTCGACGCGACGGCGATCGCCGACGCAGTGTATGGGTGTCGTGCTGGAGTGTTCCATGTGGCGTCGCCCTGCACGCTGGAGGCTCCGCGGGATCCGGAACGGGAGCTGCTGATGCCGGCGGTGATTGGGACGATTAACGTTCTGGAGGCAGCGAGGGCCGCCGGATCTCGACGGGTGGTGCTTACATCCTCCATCTCGGCCATGGTGCCGAATCCTAAATGGGCCACTGATCGACCTGGGCTTCCAGTAGATGAGGAGTGCTGGACCGATCTGGATTACTGTGAAACACGCCAGGTGATGCTTTTTGTCTCATTCTTCACGATCAGGTATTTACGATTGTGCATTTCTATTTATTTTTCTTAAGCTTTATGACAACTGGTGTAATCGCAAGCAAAAAGTAACGATAGAAATCGATCAATGTGTTGCAGAAAAAAAAAGAAAAAAAGATGATCTTAGGTTTTCCCCAATCCTCTCACAACTTCAAACCAGGATAAGCTCCAGAAAACACCTCCCAGATTACAGTTGTCTTGCAGCATTTTGTCAACACCATCTATTGTTTTGTAAATGAGCGCTTGAGGGAAGAGTTCATCTTGGATTTTCGTCAGCTCATTTAGAACTATAATATTAACATTATCTGCTAATTAAAGGCCATAATTAACCGAGATCTTCTTGATCCCAGTCTCAATCGGAATTAAACTTCTTTGTCAAGAATGAAACTTTTAATAATTTCTCTATTGCTTCCGAGGCCCATATTTGGATTAAGTGGAACAATTATAGGCTAGCTTCCATTCCAATTCTTTCCTGCCTGCAATGTCCGCTTGGCAAAATGACTTTTGCCTGCTTAATCTCATTTTATTTACTACCTTTTATACTAAAAATGGTGCTCTAGGATGAAACTTCTGTGGGAACTAATTGAGAACTTTTCCCATGACATTTCAGAGGGTTGGGTAGTTTGCGGGGATTTTACTGCTCCTGTTCTTTGAATATTGAAGTAGGTAGAAGGCATCTTCCTTCCAAAATTTTGAGTTTTAAAGAATGTGTCTTTAATACTAAACTTTATGAACTCCCTAGTGTATTTCTCTCCCATACTTGGTTCGATAATCAATTGGATGTTCCACTCAGATCCAAAATTGATTTGGTGTTTTGCAAAAATATTTTGTTAAATTATTTTCCTCATTCATTCTACCAAGTGCTAATCCACTTTCCTTCGATTACCGCCCTTTCATCTTGAGAGTGCAACCTCTTCTTTCCTCTACCCAGCACAAATTTCTCTTAAAAGATTATTGGGCTCTAATATTGCCTCTTGTTATTATGTGGAGCCTTATTGTGTTAATCAATTGTTCACTCGGAGCCCTCAGTTTTGCTGATCAAGCTTGGTGGTCAGTTTGCTTAGGAGTTACAAGGGGGTGTCCCCCTTATATTAGGATCAAGGGCAGCGCCTCCGAATTTTTTTTTCCTGCACCTAGCACCACAACATTAAACCAACAATGCCTTGTTATGGCATTAAGATAAATGTTGAACATTGATTTGAGAGATTCAAAATAAATTACTTAAATAGAAGCACACAAGCAAGTAATTTAGAAAAAAAATATGCAAAAAACATCAAAATTTAAAGTGAAAAAATTGAGAACGGGAAAAAATCACAGAGCCATGCCTTACCAAGACATTTACTATAATATGAGGAGAAATTGTACAAAGTATACCACACTCAAACCTCTCTATTCTCTTGGAATTCAAGAACGCTCCTCTCCTTTCTCTTTTGCACAAGAGAGCTCACAAAATCTAACACCAACTCGCAGCACTGCTTCACACTATTTGCACGCACCTCCCACAGCGAAGAATCACAAAACTTAAAGTCTCGATTTGCAAAAATCTGTTACAGGCGCCTGGGCGCCATCCTGGGGCGTGGAGTTTTCGGGTGCTCTTTTCTAGAATGCTGGAAACAAGATGAGCGCCTAACCACCCCTACTAGTGATGGATTTATGCCTTGGAACCTTTGCCAAAGTTGCCTGAGCGCCTGAGATCATTAATTTATTAATAATTAACATGTGCGACAAAATTTAGCAGATTCAAGAACTTAAGGATCAATAATTTCACTAAAATAAATAAGAAATAGATGAGGAATGTTTAATTTATATAATATATATATATAGAGAGAGAGAGAGAGAGAGAGAGAGAGAGAGAGAGAGAGAGAGAGAGAGATGGATAGATAATGTAAATTCTTGAATCAAGCAAATAATCAAATAATAATAATGAATTATAAATTTAAAATGAGCATTATTAACATATTTAATGGGATGCTAAGAAAATGACGGCAAAGAAATTTGTTAAATATATGAGTGATCAAAATTATAATGATGAATAAATTATGCTCATGACTTCCGATTTTTATATCTTTTAAATTTAGGAGGGATTAAGTTTTAATTAAGATAATTGAACTTATAACTTCCTATTTTTATCTCCCGATCTATTCATAATTTATATATAATGTTTTAATCAATTTGACATGTCGAATTTTATAAAGTTGATTCAGTTGAGATCTGAGAGATGCGAAATTTAAGGTATATTTTAAGTCATCAAAAAATTTTATCTGATTTCTCAAAATGAATTATTATAGCCTCTATTGACTTGGTGGTAATGAGTTTGATCTATGAAAATAGCCTCACTCAAATGTAGGGATAAGATCACTTGCATCGACTCATTACAATTTCACTCATTGTTTTAAAATTGCGCAATAGGAGGTGCACCTCAAATACTTTCGCCAATAATTTATTTTTTTAATGCTTGTTAACCCAGCAATGGTATCCTGTGGCGAAGACGATGGCAGAGAAGAAAGCTTGGGAATATGCCGAAAAGTACAATTTAGACATTGTAGCAATCAATCCCTCCACAACGCTTGGTCCCCTGTTGCAGCCTGGTCTGAATGCAAGCTCAGCTGTCCTTCAACAACTCTTACAAGGTTTGTGTAACTGTAGTTTACAAGATTGCGAGAATTACAAATTCAGGCTATGTAATTATTCTTTGCATGATTTGAAGGTTCTAAGGATACTCAAGAGTTTCACTGGCTTGGCTGCGTGCATGTGCGTGATGTTGCTGCTGCTCAGGTCTTGCTGCTGGAGACACCAAACGCCTCTGGGAGGTATCTATGTACCAATGGGATATATCAGTTCAAGGATTTTGCCGAATCTGTTGCTCAGCTATGCCCCAACTATGGCGTCTATAGGTACATAGTACTTACCAACTCGCAGCTTTTTATACCCTGTCAAGTTTATTCTTCTATCGTCTTCTTAAGTGGAATATCTTATAATATCGGAAAATTTACATAGGTACCATACAATTCTTATGCATTTACATTTCTCACACCTAAACTTTGCAATACTCCACATTTTGGTCCTTTGCATTCACATCTGTATTTTTAGGTAATGTCCCTTGGGGTTTTTGACTCAATGATTTAGCTATTTTCCTAATTTGTGTTTCAATATTACTAATAGTTGCAACATGACTTTGTATTTGATTCTCCATGTTCCATACTGCTTCTTCCAAAGATACATTCTTTTCCCTAAATTAGGATTAGAAGTAAATTCCAAAGAGTAGGTAAGTTTGGGTTGCCACTACCCTGATTATTCCAATACCTACAAAGTTGGGTTGGTTATTACTCTAGTGTTGGTTTCGTACCCCTTGGTTATTATTGTTCTAGTTAAAGTGTTGGTGGATTTTTCAGTCTGGTTTGTAGGTGTTGGAATATAAGTTATCGGGTCTGTTGGTTATAGCATTCAAGGTTTCCAGAGAGTTAGTGCTATAATCTCCTATTTGCTCATAATCAATCTCATTACTTGGTAGGGATCCTTGCACTGAATTTATTTCTAGATTATCTAAGTTCCTAGAAATAACAACTTGGGAGGTGAGGATTGCTTAGCCATTAGTGTCATGGACACCGACTGCTTTCATAGGGTGTCTCTCTCCGAAGGTCATTGAAAGTTATTCGTAATATCCTACATTAGTGAATAAGTCTTCTTAAATGGCTTTAACATAAGTGACCTCCCCCCCCCCCCC